GGCACGTTGTATTCGCGGCATTTCTGCAGAACCTGCCGAATCGCGAAAATTTGGTCCGTGGTAGCGCGGGCACCCATGAATCCCGCCTGGTATTGCCCCACGAACTCTCTTGCAAATGGTGACTCCAAGGTCTGTTGCCGTGCCACCTTCGTTTTCTGTTACATCACCGTTGAGGTGCTCGTCATGTACTGCTTCCATCTCTCAATCACCTCACACTCGTTCGTGAGAAGGTTATCGTCCAAGTCCTTGCACACATCGGCTTGCGGCACGTAGTCTTTGCGCGAACTATTTAGCTTTTCATAGAACTTGAATGTGTCGTTTACGCGGTACAGATATTCCATCGTCTCGCGATCTCGGTCTTCCTGCTGACGCTTCTTCCTTCGGAAAACCGAGTTTTGTCTGTTCCGCGCTTGTCTGTATTGCTCCACATTCAATCTCGTGCGGTGTTGCAGCATTCTCGCCCGTGCTGCATTCTTCTCCTCTACTAACAGTTTGCATTCGCCGTCAAACCAGTCATTTCTTCGGTCCGGGATTGCAGTACCTAGTGCCGCTGCAGCAGTACCAACAATCAATACGAAACTAACGATTTTAAATTGGCTCACCACTTTAGTAGCCTATTGGTCCCAAGCAAACGATTAACGTACACTATTCTAGTTGAAATTCTATTACTACACTATGTTTGTTTTGATTCGCTATGAAAGTTTGACAGATAACATCAGGGGTGTGTGGATTCATGCAGAACATGCAGGGGTGAGTGAAATAGCTTGGGACTGCTTGGGACCGTTGTTCTGGTACTGAGTGAGCCAAAAATAATAATGATTTTCTTCGGGACCCAGTGGTCTTAGAGTTACCTCTATGGCAGTACTACCTATGGCTGAACGGATGTCCCTCCAGCCATCTTCAAGAGAAGCTGCGCCAAGCTGCTCTTCCGTGGGTAGTGCAACTTCCAGCTGCTGCGCGTAGTCCTGGGCAACTCCGGTGTCCCGTAGTTGCTCAATGTTGGGTCGTGGCGTTCGACTTCGACGTGTGTTATGCACCGTCGAGAGTTTTGAGCGCATGCATCCTGCAACTAGGTAGTGGTCCGAATCTATGTTCGCACTGCGGTACGTGTGGACGTTGATAATGTCGGAGAAGAATTTCCCGTCTATTAGAACGTGATCGATTTGGTTTTCTGTGTGTTGGTCAGGTGATCTCCAGGTGGCTTTGTGGATATCCTTGCGGGGGAAAAAGGTACTTCGAACTACCATACCCCGGGAGGCTGCAAAGTTCACGCATCGTTGGCCGTTGTCGTTCGATACGGCATGCAGGCTGTTTGGCCCGATTGCCGGTCTATACATTGCCTCCCGTCATACCTGAGCGTTCATGTCACCAATGACGATTCTGACGTCCCGTTGCGAACAGCCGTCGTACACCTGCTCCAGCTGCGCATAGAACGCTTCTTTCTCGTCGTCGGATCTCCATTCGTGTGGGCAGTGCACGTTGATGATACTGTAGTTGAAGAAACGGCCCTTAATCCTCAACTTGCACATCCTCGCGTTGATCGGCTGCTAACCAATCACGCGTTGGCGCATCTTACCCAGCACTACAAAGCCGGTTCCCAGCTCGTTGGTGGTGCCACAGCTCTGGTAGAAAGTAGCCGCTCGATGCCCGCTTTTCCATACCTTTTGTCCCGTCCAGCAAAGTTCCTGCAGTGCTACGACTTCGAAGTTGCGTGGTTGAAGTTCGTCATAGATTAACCTATCGCAAGCCGGGAAGCCGAGCGATTTGCAGTTCCATGTTCCGAGTTTCCAATCGTAGTCCTTATTTCGTCGCGTAGGTCTGTGCCGATTGTTCCGATCTGTATTTCTTTCTTCGCTATTTGCAACTTTGTTTTTTTTTCAGGGCGGTTTGTTGGGCCTGCCCCAACCCCCTGTCTCGCCGGGGGACCATCGTGCACAGCTCTGTTTAGAGTCCCACGCTGGCACTAGGACGGTGATCAGCCGCTCCTAACATGGAGAACAGACGCCGTTTTGAGCCGCACCTCCATGGGGTGAACAGACGCTCGGGTTTGGTGAAGCATTTCCTCTATCACCGTACTATGGTTACCGCGCCAGTGTTCGCGTCGCACCTCTTCACTTTGCTATTGCCGGACTGGCAACATTGCCCAGGCTACGCCAACCAGCTGTGTCCATGTTTCAGCTGGTAGTCTTTTGTTATCATATGACTCGAGGAGGCGTGAAGTAGGAACTTGTGAGGACCAGAGCTAAGTATTCTGCTCCTTCCAGGTTGTCAACTCACCATTTGGTAGCCCTCCCCTTTCCCTCAAATAAGCTCCAAAAACAAAGCGAATTTCAGGGAAGTTCAGTTCCTTTAGTTTCACTAAATTACTGGTAAAATTCAAGAAGTTCCCAGATTTTCAGAGAACTTTAGAGATGTTAAGAAAATTATTGAGGTTTTCGCATAAGTCCAGAAGTTCACGCAAGCTTAAACATTTTTAGAACAATTAAATTCATGGGAGTACAACAAACTTCATGAGAACTGCAAACACTTTAGAGAAGTTTCAAGAACGCCGAAAAAGATATCAATCTCGCTAATAAAGCTCTAAACAAAAAAAAAAAAAACAAGAAAGAACAGAATCAGAACAGAGCAGAGATATTCCGGAGCAGGGAAATTACATAAATTTTAAAAAAGTTTCGAGAAATTCGGTGATTCGTTCACACTTTAGAGAAGATTCATGATCGATAGGAAAATTGTGGAAACTTCAGGAAGTTCGAAAAAGTTAAGATAAGTTTAAAAAAATAAGACCTCCGAATAGTCCATTCCATATTCAACGGAGATTTGACATGAAAATTCGCTTGGAGTTTACTGCTTAGGCTTCACTTGAAGTCTAATTTTCTCAGAACTGTTGAACAGATTGCAGTTGATGTTTTTCTCATAGATTTTTTCCCAGAACTCCCGTGGAATGAGATCCTTAGAAATTATAATAAAATTCCATGAGCCTTAAAACTGTGCAAGGAATTTGACTCCAGATTCTTTAAAATTTCTTGATGTATTATAACTTTTCAGTTCAGAATTTATAAAATTTGTGGGAAAGATGCATATTCTTGAACCAAAAACAAAATCGTTTGAAAATCGAAAAAAAATGTATTCCTTACTGAAAATTAATCCATTCTGGATGTATAAAGTTCAATGTATGAATGAAAATAGCTAGGAATATTAAATTCTTAGTAAAAAAATTATTAAATTTACTGAGTTATGATAAGATTCCCTGAGACTTCCAGGTATTTTCAGGCCAAATAAAATTCCCTGAGAATTCCCGGTTTTCAGGGTTTTACAGGTAGTAGAAGCTTGGAGGTTTAGACTTAAACTTTCTATTGAATCTATCGCTTTAAAGGTTCCTGACGTATTTATTTAAGTGCTTATGAGAATCTAATTGAATAAGTATAAAACATCAAACATTTATTTGGTGTGCCATGAGAACGACTAATTTACTTCCTTTAGGTCACTTTTTAGTCACTTTTTTACAACTATAAGTCTCTATTTGGTCACTTATTTCTTCAAAATGTTATTGACCATCTAAGTATTTTTGACATCATTGATCGCTACATGCCCTGAAATGATAATTAGCCTTTCTCAAGTGAACAAAAATGGTTAACGGTTAGCTCCGGGTATCACCGATAAAATACGATAAAACTAGCAACGTTACTTGAGATTGCATCCAATTAGCGCATACATATTAATGTTCCATACCATTCCGAATACTCCTAAGTCCTATCGCAGATTTAATCTGAATGATGTATTAATGCGGAGTTTTTGACAACTTTTAGCGCCTGATGGTTAGTTAGGTACGTTTGAAGCCTATAAGCTTATCAATACCAAGGAAATCAATCAGTTTAGAAGACCGCATAAAGCAGTAAGTCCGATAAGAATACGGCAGATGCGACAGAATAATGCACCTATGAAACTCAGAGGTATCGCCCTCTTCCACCTCCTCACCACCCCCCCCACGACCAGAACGCATGACAACGTGTGTGGACGCCGCGGCGGACATTAGTGAAAGAGTGAGAATGAGAGCGTGAGAGCGATTCCCGACTGTACTGCGCGAGTGGCGCGCGGATTTTCGCGGTCTCTGTAGGTTACCTACCGCACTCTGTTCCGCCGCCGCTGGTAGACTGACCGACCGACCGACCGACCGACCCGACTGACTGCCGGTGCTGCGCCCGTTGGATATTTTTAGTTCACTCAGTGGTGCTTTCGAGTTAAGGCGGTGGTGCGGTTCGCGCGTGTGGTTCGATCGAAGAAAGCCTCTATAGACCAGAGGAGGACCGTTTTCTGGGGACTGTCCGTCTGCGAACGACCTCCACGGATCTTTCCTTTATCGCTCTTGGTTCGTTCTGGTGGTGCGCGGGTGCGTGAGGAAGTTTCGCCGATTGATTGGCAATCGATTGCAGGCAGACGAGTTCGAATCGTTCCTTTGGTGTTCTGTTTGTTTTGTTTTTGGGTCCGGGGTTGTAAACAATTGTTTTTTGCTACAAAGTGGATTGTTAAGCGGGCAGTGAAATGAATCATACATTCGATTTTAGGGGTTAGAGGAAAGCGAAAACTCGTGATCGTTTTTTTTTTAATTTTTCGTTCGGAACTAGAAATGGAGGAAAAATTTCCCGGCTAGCGAAGCGTGGTGAAATAAAGTGAAATTTTATTTTTAATGAGGAACGGGTTGTTTTTTTTTTCTGCTGGGGAAAATCAGGGGAAAAGTGCGTGTGTTTGGATCGTCGGAGAGTGGTCCCACCTGTGCCGAGCAGGTGGGAGAACGAAAAATCGAGGAGAGAGAGTGTGAAGAGCACGCTCGCGGAGCGACAAGATTGCGCGTTAGGATTAAGTGACATTTATAGTGTGCCTCGTAGGAGAATATTAACGATAGGGTTGCCAGCTTTGTTGGGAACACGGTGCAAACGTCAAGCGCTCGCTCAAACCATTACCGAGGAATGTGCCATTTATTTCCGATTTTTCTCTTCCTGCAGGAAAGACATCGCTAACAGACGGATTCGAATTACCACACGTCGGAATTGAAGGAGTAATGAAATGCCGTACCAGTGAGCGAGTGAACAAGAAGAACAAGAAGCGAGAGCTAGACTAAATTTAAACCCTCTCGCTCGCAGCAATTTGTGACACGGCAGCGGCGTGAATCACTGTGTGAGTGTGTGTCTGTGTTGACGGCGAAAAAGTCACGAAACGGGTGTGGGAAAAGCAGACGTTGAAAATAGTTGAAATCCATCTAAGAATAGTCTATTTGGCCACTTCTAGGCAAGATGAAATTATAATGGCGAAAATATATTGAAATTTCTAATCTTTTTTTTTGGTGCTGGGCCTATTTGCGGGAAAGAAGAAAATTCATTGGCCGCCAGACCGCGTGTGTGTACCACGAAGGAAGATTGTGTTAGCGATGTGTTTATTTTTAGTAGTCGATCACACATTTTTTTAGTGTAGAATCGGAGAAAATACGAGCAAGGAAGAGAAAGAGAGCGCAAGTGTCTAGCAGCGAGCGCCACGTTAGCCCTCCTGAAAAGCGACGACGACGCGCAAGTGTGACAAGTGCGTGTTTTTTACCTTGGCGCTCCGCATGTGACTCCAGAGAAAAAAAACGTGTTTAAATATCTTTCACAGAGTCGCCAACCATCCGAAATTCATTGATCGAGAGTGGAAATACAAAAAAAAAAAGCCGACGTGAGTGAGTGAGTGAACCGTCAAACGAAGATCGTCAAGTTTTGGCAGAGTACCACCAGAAAGCGCCACCTGTGCGTGTGTGTGTATTTTGATTAACCGTTGTACTCGGGACTCCCCACGTGGACTCCACTATGGAATCGTTTGAATCCACACACGATAATCCGGAAAACGGATCCAACAGCCGCAGTTAGCAGCGTTTCAGTAGCTGGTTCGTCACAATCGCGCTACATCGAAACTTTCAGCACAACTAGTCTTTAAATCGTTAAACAATCACAAACAATCTGCAAATTGACAACCGTTGTGAACGAACCGTTCTCCACAAAAACTTTCGCGCGTCTTTGCACTATCTCCGTACTCTTGATTTCCGTGTTTCCTAGTCGACCGATCGATTGACCGCCCTGCATACGGCCGGATTGTTCTTCCCCGCGTCTCCGTCGCTACTGAAAAAACGTCTGCAGAGCGGCTTACCACCTAGAGCTCACCATCGAACTGCCACCGGAAGTCCTCGACGACGATTCGGAATTCTTTCGATTGCTTTACACTTCGGCTCTCAGCAACGGTAGAGCAGTAGAGTAGTTGTTTGACACTCAAGCATCCATTAAAACACCTGCATTTAAATCGTCATATCACCTTGCACGGATCCTCCTCCTCCTCTTCCTCCACTTAACAATTCGGTGGCTGGTTTTTGGATAGCGCTTCCAGTAGTAGTCTATTAGTTCCACTGTGTGTCGTCCTAACACCTCCATTGTTGTGTTCATTGTGATCTGACTGCTCTCCCTAACTACCTAACAAGGAGGGTGGTTTGTGTCCATCGCTACGCTTGTACAAATAACTCCGATCACCCAGGCCAGTTAGAAACACGATTCGCCGAACTCCAGCACTCTAACAAACTGCACCATGGCAACGGGTTTCAGCGTCCGTAGATCATTGGTATACGGCTTTGGCGTCCTCCTCGTGATCGCATTATCAGCGGCAACAGCGTCAGTAAATAATGGTGGCAGTAGCGGCACCCCGACGAATCAGTCGGTTCAAGCGGATGCACTTCCCGCAGGGCGCCATATTAAGGACGATACTACATGCGAGGAAGGGTTACTCCTGAGGGTGTGGGAACCACAGGAGAACCTGACCACCGGAGATCGTATCGCTCGCGGTATGGTGTACTTTTCCGCGCTACTATATCTGTTCATCGGTGTGTCGATCGTAAGTGACCGGTTTATGGCTGCTATTGAAGTTATAACATCGAAGGAGAAGGAGGTCCGGGTGAAGAAACCGGGCGGCGAAGAGCAAATCGTCGTCGTCCGCGTTTGGAACGAGACGGTTGCCAATCTTACCCTGATGGCACTCGGCTCGAGCGCACCTGAGATTCTGTTGTCAATCATTGAAATCGTAGCGAAAAACTTCAATGCAGGTGACTTGGGTCCTGGTACCATTGTCGGTTCCGCTGCCTACAATCTCTTCGTTATCATCGCAATTTGCGTCCTGGTTATACCCGACGGGGAGGTACGCAAAATTAAACATCTTCGAGTATTCTTCGTTACAGCGACCTGGTCGGTATTTGCTTACATCTGGCTTTACCTCATCCTCGCACAGATTACCCCCGGACGTGTAGATGTTTGGGAAGGTTTCCTTACGTTTTTGTTTTTCCCTGCCACCGTAGTGACGGCCTACATCGCTGATCGGAGACTACTGATCTACAAGTACATTGGCAAGCAGTACCGCATGAACAAGCGTGGCGTCATCGTTCAGGTAGAGGCCGAGTCAGCGCTTGAGATGAATAATCGGGACGAGAAATTGAATACTATCGATGAGAATGGCGGCATTACCGAGGAGGTCCGTGATTTCGAAGAATCCCGTCGCGATTACATTTCCACTTTGAAGGACCTGCGTAAGAAATATCCCCAACATGATCTCGAACAGCTTGAAATAATGGCTCAAGAACAGCTAATGAATAAGGGACCCAAGTCGCGTGCATTCTACCGTATCCAAGCAACTCGCAAGATGATGGGCAGTGGTAACATCATGCGAAAGATCTCCGAACGAGCGCAGTCCGACCTGAGCGAGGTGAAAGCCGAACTGCAGCGCGTAGATGTCGACGAAGTTATTGAAGAGGACGCCGTCTGCAAGGTGTTCTTCGAGCCCGGTCACTATACGGTCATGGAATCGGTCGGTTCGTTCGATGTGCGCGTGGTCCGTCGCGGTGATTTGTCTTCCACGGTTACGGTCGATTACGAAACGGAGGACGGTTCTGCCGAGGCCGGGTCGGATTATATCGGCAAGAAGGGCACCCTCAAGTTCGCCCCGGGCGTTGACGAGCAGCGCTTCCAAATTGAGGTTATCGACGACGACGTGTTCGAGCAGGATGAGCACTTCTACATCCGGCTGAGCAATGTTTCCGATCCGGCTACGCTGTCGACGCCGAAGGTCGCCACCGTTATGATCCTGGACGACGATCACTCCGGTATCTTTGCGCTGGCTAGCAAGGACCACGAGTTGGTTGAATCGGTCGGTATGTACGAGCTGAAGGTGCAACGTTACAGCGGTGCCCGCGGTAAGGTGCGGGTTCCGTACTGGACCGAGGACGGTACCGGCAAGGCTGGCAAGGATTACGAGGAACAACGAGGCGAGCTGCTCTTCGATAACAATGAAATTGAGTGAGTACCATTTCTTGACCTTCTATTTAATGATTTTGAAACTCCAGTTTGAGCGCATTTATGATTAGCGTGTAGCAGTGATTGCCCGAGCAATAACGAAAGTATTTATTAGTTCTTTATTCGTAGAATATTTTAAGTTATTATTTTTGGTATTTTACCACTTATGTCAGCCTCGCTAATACCATATTTAGGTTGCCAGTTATGCTATTTTCATACCTAAATTTAAAATTAATAAGTTATTTTTTCTTGCTCGGGTGGATGACAGATGACAGAGATAAATCACAACTTTAATGATGAACATTAGAGTGCGTTAACAGTACAACCAACCGGTGGAAACTAACGATTTTAGATTGGCTCACTACTTGACTAGTCTATTGGTCCCAAGCAAATCGATTAACGTACCCCATTCTAGTCGAAATTCTAGTACTACACAATGTTTGTTTTGATTCGCTATGAAAGTTTGACAGATAAAATGAGGGGTTCGTGGATTTTATTATGTTTCGAGGGGTGCATCGATTAGCTTGGGACCGAAGATAGTACCAGAGCTGAGCCAAAAAGTTGAGCACGTTTCTTCGGGGCCTACTAGTCTTAGAGTTACCTCTATGGTACAACCCCATGGTCTCCACTGCTCTTTCGATGCGCATTGAGGCCCCTAACAACCAAGCAAAATTTGAGCAAATTTGGTTATGATCTGGATTTGCGCGAGAATTTTAAATTTAGTATAGGAAAATGTATAGAAAAAGACATGAAACTATTCATTTGCTTGCCAAAAATTCAATAATGGCTCAATTGGTGCCCAGGTCTGATGTATCGAATAACTTCGTAGTCGACCATTGTTGGTTTTTGTAACGGTCATAATTTTCAGAGACAGTAGGTGGCTGACTTATGGTCTCCTATCCAACGTGACGGTGCTGCCATCTTGGCGTAACTTCCTGGGATAAGAATTTCATATTCAGCCGCTAGGTGTCAGTTAGACGCTGTTTGAGTCGCACCATGGTGGATAGACGCTTGGTGAGGTGAAATGTGGGCTTAGGTACTTAACTGACACAACCCCAAGGCTGCAAAATGCGTGTCGATTGTCGATGCATGTTGACATGGCTGGTTCTCAGCAATGCAATGACCAATCGTTATGATTCAGCCACCAATCGAACGATATGGCTATTTTATTTTATTTTTATTAAAAAAAAACCCAATTGGACCTGTGGTTAGCCAGCCGGAAGGGAAAAACTCTGAAAAGTCCCGAGCAAAATGCGTGTCGATTCATGTTGACATGACAGGTTGTTGGCTATTTGGATACCACATCTTAAGCCAATACTTGAAAGGTATGACTATATACTTTCAAACGGAATGGACAAGAAACCGATTGGAGTTGTGGGTGGCCAATCGGAATGATAAAATCCGTGAACGGTGGCTCTGTGGAAATTCGGATTCACCGGGAAAATTGTCAATCCCTGAAAGTAGACCTAGAGATCCGCAACTTTTTCGAAATTACATACAATCATGAGCAAAGAGGAAATATACCATCATCATATCGATTTTGCAACCAAGTGGTCAGAAAACGGTCTTCTGGATATCCGGAATCACCGATAAACTAGTCAATTCCAGAAAGTAGACTTAGAGATCCGCGATTTTTTCTAACTTGCATATAATCATTAGCATATAGGAAATACGACATCAACCTATCGATTATGCTACCGAGTGGCCAGAATACGGTAGCCTGGATATCCGGAATCACCGGGAAAATAGTCAATTCTTAAAAGTAGCCTGGAGATCCGTGATTTTTTAGAAAATATGAAAAACCCTTAGTTGAGAAGACATATCTCAGTGGTATATTGATTTGGTCCCCCGGTGGCCATTAAATGCCCGTCTGGATTTCCGGATTCACTGGGACAATGGTCAATTCTTAAAAGTAGTCCTAGAGATTCGCGATTTTTTTCTAAAGTGCATACAACCTTGAGTATAGAGGACATATATCACCACCATAGAGATTCTGCACAGGGTCGCCAGAAAACGATTCTCAAGAAATCACCGAAAAAGTAGTAATTTTTCTGGAAGTTGATCTAGAGCTCTTTGATTTTTTTTTAGGAAATGCATAAAGTCCTTAGTTGAACAAATATATCTCAGCACTATATTGACTTGACCCCCTGGTAGCCATACAGTGTGCTTCTGGATATCCAATTTCACCGGCGAAATGGTCAATTCCTTAAAGAAATCCTAGTGATAAGCGATTTTTGTTTTTCTCAATTGCATGCAATCTTGTGCGTAGAGGAAGTATACCGTCACCATATTGATTATGCTACCGAGTGGCCAGAAAACAGGATTTCCGGAATCACCATAAAAGTGGTCATAGAACCCTGCGCTTTGTTACAAATCTGCACAGCGCCTTGTGTAAAGTGGAGAAACTTCAGCACCATGTTAATTCAAACACCTAAAGCTAACACCCTTTCGAATATCTAGATACTTCGTACAAGTCGTCAGTTTTTGAACGTATGTCTGGAGCTATGATTTTTCTATGATTGAATCTTCTAAAAAGTGGTAATTTTCTTAATGTGGTCCTCAGTTACCTGCTCTTTTGTTGATTATGCTATATTAAATTATTCCACGGAAATAACACATATTCGTTATAGGGTAACACAGAAGAGCTTTGCATCTTTTTAGTCAAAAATGCAGGGTATCGTGAATAAGACTGAAATATCTTACCAACAAAGAGATTCACTTATGCGGTAACCATAAAATGACAGGATTAACCTTAATACAGGTCGATTTGTTACTGAAGGGCCATAAATATCACTTCATAACGGTTTGACCGAGTGCAACTCTTACAACTTATTGTATGCGGAGGATTTTGATTTGCTTTGATTGATTGCACCTTTTGCAGGTTTAATTCAAAGTCTCTTTGTAATTCAATGTGCGCTCCTCGTTTCTTCGATTTTTGCTGTCGCGCAGTCACATTATCAGATGTAAGCTGGTACACCAATGCTTCCATGAAAATAGCTCGTCTGCAAGGAAGGTAAATGGTGGATGATTCATGGTGTATAAGACATAAGAGTTATAAAGCATTATTTAAAGCATATCCGTGTTCAATCGCAAGGTGGCCACTTGAGCATTTGCTGGAAAAGGAAAAATCTTTTGTCAGCTTGTTCAGGTTATCAACTCCAACCATGTGCGTATTGCAATGTTTGATTATTTCTGGCTTGGTATCAATGTCTGAAGTCATTGGAACTTCGTAATTCGAGCTCAGGATAAGCACCGCAGCATTTTTGTTAGGAACATATGATGTTACCGCATTTTGTTCACTGTAGCAGACCAGTGTACTTCCAACCGTTCGCGAGCGGTTAGGAAGAAACTGATGTGGAATCTCCTTTATGTTCTTCCGCAGCGTTCCTGTGATGAAAAGGTTCTGGGACTTTCTGGAGTAAAACCTCATTACTACATACCTGGAAGATAGATTTGAAAGTTGTAGCCGTATGACGTTTTCTGGTCACTGGGAAGCAGCAAAGATATGGTGATGGCATATTTCCTCTGAGCTCATGGTTGTATGCAATTTAAGAAAAAAATCGTGGAACTCTAGGACCACTTTAAGGAATTAGTTAATCCGGATATCCAAAAGGGCACTTTATGGCCATCCGGCAGCAAAATCGATATCGATGGCATATTTCCTCTATGCTCATAATTGTATGCAATTTGGAAAAAATCGCGAATCTCTAGGTCTACTTTCAGGAATTGACCTTTTTCCCGGTATTTCCGAATATTCAGAGGACCGTTTTCAGGCCACTTAGTTGCAGAATCGATTTTGTGATGGTACATTTCCTCTATACCCAAAATTTTATGCAATTTAAAAAAAAAATCGTTGATCTCTGGGACTACTTTTAGGGAAATAACCAATTTCCCGGTGAATCCGGATACCCTGAAGTGCATTTTATGGCCACCGGGGGATCGAATCAATATGGAGCTGAAATATCTTTTCTCAACTAAGGGATTTTAAAATTTTCTAAAAAATCACGAATATCTAGGCCCACTTTCAAGAATTGACCTTGATACCAGTGATTCCGGATATCCAGAGGACCGTTTTCTGGCTACCCGATAACAGAATCGATGTAGTATGGCATTGTTCCTCTATGCTCATGCCTGTATGCAATTTAGAAAAAAAAAATCGCGGTTCTCTAGGTCTAATTTTTACTTGACTTTTTTCCTGGTGATTCCGGATATCCAGAGGACCGTATTCCGGCCACCCAGTAGCAGAATCGATATGATGATGACATATTTCTTCCATACTTATAATTGTAAGCACATCTAGAAAAAAAAACACGGATCTCTAGGACTACTTTGAAGCATTAACTATTTTCCCGGTGACTCCGGATATCCATAGGATCGTTTTTTGGTCACTTGTCTGCAGAATCGATATGGTGAAGGTATATTTCCTCTATGCTCATGATTTTATTAAATTTAGAAAAAGTTGCGGATCTCTAGGTCTACTTTCAATAATTGACCATTTTCCCGGTGAGTCCGAATTTCCACAGAGCCACCTTTCACGGGTTTTATCGTTCAGATTGGCCACCCACAACTCCAATCGGTTCCTTGTCTGTTCCGTTTGAAAGTAAATATATAGTCATACCTTTTAAGTATTGGGTCAATCTTAAGATGTGGTAACCAAATAAACGAGAACCAGTAATGTCAACATGAATCGACACGCATTTTGCTCGGGACTTTTCCGGGTTTTTCCGTTTCGGCTGGCCAACCACAGGTCCAATTAGGTGTTTTATTTAAAATAAAATAAGACCATATCTTTCGATTGGTGGCTGAATCATAACGATTGGTCATTGCATTGCTGAGAACCAGCCATGTCAACTATGAATCGACCCGCATTTTGCAGACTTGGTACTTTGAGGAAGTTTTAATGACTTGGGATTATGTCAGTTAATCAACCAATCCAAAGCAAAACGATATAGTGGTTCTCAGAATTTCGTAAAAATTGATAGTTTTGTTCCTTATCGCAAAAT